CCCCCCCCCCCCCCCCCCAAGTTTTAAATTAAAATTTAATGAAATCATGTACGGGATGGTAGACCCTCTGTACGCAACCACACATTTTTGCATGTCCTTGAACTTAATTAAAGTTTTACAGCCCCATATCACTTTTACCACATATTATTTTATATTTTATTTAAAAATAATATAATTTGACGAAAAATTGTATATATTGAAAGATTATTGTTATTTAATTTAACCAAAAAAAAAAAATATATACCAAGGTTAAAATCTGTCACATAATAGTGTTTTGATATGATATAAAAATGAACCAATTGCATGTTGATATGTATTGTTCTGATTTGGAGGAGTGGTAAGTAATTTAGTGAGAGCTATTTGCCTATAAAGTTTCGCTGCATTAATTGAATTGAACGGCATTTAAAAAAAATAATTAAATGTATGTTTAGAAGTTAAGTTTTTATTACTTTATAAATTTGATAAAAGTTTATTTTTGGAATGAAAAATAAAGTAAAACATATTTAATGTTAAAAATACAAAGCCAAAATCGATTATATTTATTAATTTTTCTTTTAAAAATGTGAAAATATATATCATCAGTTTTGTCACACGCGGTGATTAAATCAAAGAAACATAAAACTTTTTATTTGTAAGTTTAAATTTTGCACTTATGAAATTAATCTATTGTTTCTTTATTTGATTTCAGTCAACAATTTTATTTGTATACTGTTTGAAGTCATTTACATAAATTTAATTTTATATCAATTTCCCAATATTAACAATGCAATTAAAAAAAAAAAAAAACAGGTTTGAGGGTTTGCCCGATAAATATGATTATGATTTCATAAAAAAAAATTCTTAGATCATAGTTTTCTTATAATAAAAAGAATATCATAGCTTTCAAATTTTGGATATAAGGCTTAAAATGGTTCTTTAATTGTTATTTTTAAATGTATTTGTAATTTATAATAATAATTCTTAGGAATATAATAAAAAAAAAAAAAACATATATTTTTTTTGTAGCCCATTTAAATTTAACCAATTTCCGTAAAATAATAGAAAATAACTATGTGTGTTTTAAAGAAACAGAACATATTTAAATTAATTTTTTTTTTTACTCATTCTTTATATATATATATTATTAGATTGTGATTTTCAAGCTTGTGAAATGTCTAACCTATGTCTGTAATGTTGTATATCATCTGTCTTTAACGTTCTGTATTTCCAAGCTTTTAGTGTTGTAATTTCAAGTGTTATTTCTGTTTTAATAATTTTTATTTACTGATGATTTGTTTTTGCTTAGTTCTGTAGGAAGTTTACATGTTTAATGCTATATCACACCAATTAATTAATAATTTAATACCAGACAACATTGTCTGTTCATTGTTGTCGTGTATTCAAATAGCGTTGACACAAGCGTTATAAAATCTTCATCTTCATCATCATATTTATTTTTGCATTTCATTCGATTTGAGCAATATAATTTATAAACATATAATTATTGACATACATATTTTTTGCTTATACCCATCTTACAATTGACATACTTATTTTGTTCATATATCCATGTTATAATTGACATCCAAGTTGGTGCCTGGCAGTTGCACATATTAAATTGCTTATGAGAATTGAATGAATTTTAAACAAGTAAAAAATCATCCAATAGAACCAGAGTATTTTGAATACCTTCAACATTAATTTGATTATAAGTTGAATACAAAATGGATCTTTATAAAGGAGTATTTTTTTGTGTTTGGTGGGGGTGGGGATGGTATCAAAGGGTTTGTGACTTGAAGGAAACAAGCTAAGGCCATTTGTAGAAGAGAAGTTCAAAGAAGAGAAGGCTGAGAAAAAACAGAAAGGAGAGAAAGGTAAGCGAAATTCTAACAGAGCACATCAAATGAGAAATTTATTCTTCCGACAGGACATTAGAAATAAGAAGATTAGATTCAACAAGAATTTTAAAAAAAATCAAAATAATAAAAATCAAGAAAAAATATCAAGAAAAAAAAAACAACCAATAAAATAATTTTTTAAGGAATAAAAGAAATCCTAGAGTTAAATCTCATCCGTTTTCCATGAAAAAAATGAGAATTTTGAATATTTTCGTTCAATTTTTCCAACTCAGCGCAATTGGCAAAAAGTTATTAAGAGTGAATGGAAAGTGAAACCATTTCCAGTTTCACAGGATCAGCAAGAGACCTCTTTATAAAAGAAATGAGTAGGTGAAATAAAGTATGGGAGAACCTGAATTGCTGGTTTTTCGCTAATCTGATTGCAGTCTCACCCCTTATCACCAAGAGACTCCTTAGCTTGTCATCGAAATATAGAAACAATTTATTTTGTGACTATGAAAGAGCAGTTATTGAGACACTCCGTTAATAGCAATGGTGATCACTTAAGTTTTTAATTTGCTTCTATTTCTTGTCCTATTTTCATCTGTCCTGTCTGCCGATGAAGGCTCTTAGCCCAGACGTTCATATCTTACTATTCCGTCTTTCAAATCAAGCGTTCACTTACCTTATCCTACTATTTCCGAGACAATTGAACACATCTGGAGATTTTTGACAGGAACAAATTTCATCAAAGCCGCTTAACGCAAACTGATGATCCAATCCGCAAGTACTGATTAAATATATGTTAGCAGATATCAAATCATGGATGAAAATTAACAAAAATTGATACGAATGACCTTAAATCTATAATGGAGTTATTTGCGATTGACAAGGTCCTTGAACTGGCAAGTAAGGGATTACATTCATTCATAAAACAAATAAAGGTAAAGGATAAAAAGGGATTTGTTATTGCAATGTCAAATTACAAAGATTATCATCCGAGTGCTAACTTGTCGAAACAAATTATGGTGAGATTGTGTTGTGTGCGATGAGAAGTAAAAAGAGATCTAGCGGTTTACCAGATCAAATGAGACTAAAGGATATCAGAAATTTCACAGCTGGCGTGTCCAGTGGCTGGACGTACGGGAAAGACGGTCACTTCTGGGCATATGGGAAAGAAGGTCACTTCTGGACGTATGTGAAAGAAGGTCACTTCTGGGCGTATAGGAAGAAAGAAGGTCACTTCTAGACGTATTGGGAAAAAGGTCATTTCCGGGCATATGGGAAAGAAAGAAGGTCACTTTTGGACGTATGGGAAAGAAAGAAGGTCACTTTACACTTATAGGAAAAAATATCACTTCTGGACGTATGGGAAAGGGGGCACTGCTGGACATTAATGGGAAAGAAGGTCGCTTCATTAGGAATATCAAAAGGAACAATAAAGATAATAAGCAAATTATAAAATACTATTATCAACAAAACACAGGACACGACTATTATCAACAAAATAGTAAAATATCTCCCAATATCAGACCACAAGGAAACAAATATGAGAGAGATCGGCCGAAAACAGACCACACAGAAACATATAAGAGAGAAGAATATCATATAAACATCGCACTGTAACTAATATATTAAATAGCAAAGGACAATTAAGCTTCTACCTGGGTTTAGCCACAGGGTATGTAACACATTGCCACAGATACACAGGGTGCTCATAGATACATTCGTACATACTGTTGTAGGTACATTCCGCGTAAACCTAGACACGCTAGGAAATGAAGACATCATTGAATGCATGAAGACATCATTGAATGCATGAAGACATCATTGAATGCATGAAGACATCATTGAATGCAAAAACAGCCATCATTGAGGTGGATGCATCTTGTGTGAAATTACACAATCGAAGCCGTTCTTATGGATAGAACTATTACACCACTGGATAAGATGGATACATCTTGGGTGAGTTTACACAATCTAAGCTGTTGTTATGGATGGACCTATTACACCACTGGATAAGGTGGATTACATCTTGGGTGAAATGAACCAATCTAAGCTGTTATAATGGATAGACCTATAACGCCAATGGGCAATATTCCAGGCAATTAGTACCTGGCAATATTCCAGGCAATTAGTACCTGGCAATATTCCAGGCAATTAGTACCTGGCAAATCAGAAATTGAACTAAACAGTGATTAAAAAGAAAACAACAACAGAAAAGAAAACCTTCATATTTCCGTTAGGTCGGTGTTTCCCGAAATGGGTTAAATTTGATTGTCTAGGGGGGGGGGGGCAATTGAAAATAAGCTGTCTTATGTTTGAAAACTAAAAGTCTACTTTGATTTAACTTGTATTTTGAAAAAAAAAGAGCAAAATAAAAGTCTCTAAATACTGATCATATTGCAACTTTCAATCTAACACTTGACGCTAGTTATGAAATTTCTTCACTCATCGCTAAATCTGGGAAAAATCATACCATAGGGGAGAATTTAATCAAACCATCGATATCAGCATTTGTTTAAATGGTTCTGGAGAAAGATGACAAAGACGTGAAAGGTATGCCACTCAGTAGCAATACTGTTGGCAGAAGAACAAGCAAAATTAGTGTAGATATTGAAATACAACTTGTTGAAAGCAGAAAACAAAAAAAATTCTCAGTGCAAATGGATGGACCAACTTTGAGAGACAGTGAGGCGGTATTGATAACTTAAGTAAGATTTATTAATAAAGGGTATTGTGCTGGAGAAATGTTGTTCTGAAAATCATTAGAAAGCACCAATACCGCCAAATATATATTTATATATATATAAGCTAAAAATTACTTAGATGTCAATAACATACCAATAAAAAATATAATATCTTGTGCTGCAGAGTGTGCTCCTAACATGATGGGCAAGAAAAATGGCTGCTTAAAATTGAAGAAAGATAATAATCCAAAAATGCTACCTGTGCATTATGTTATTCATAGGGAAAAATTTCGAAAAGTTTCATGGGTTCAAAAAAAGTGAAGTGACTAATACCGCTATTCTTGTTATTGTCAATCATCTGAAAATTCTATCGGCTAATTTAAAAGAAAGATCTCTGATTTGAAACAATTTGGTTTTTCCAACTTGGATGACGCAGACTGTGTTAGTGGATTTGTCCGATATTTCAGATTTGCATTATTAGGAAGAACACACAAAAACTGCAAAATGATGAGTCAGTTCAAACTTTATTTAATATAAAATGAGCGATGGGATGGCTTTGTGGGGAAACTTAAATCAAAAATACAAATAGAAACAAATGTGCAAGAAAACTATTGTTACCGTTTCTATCTTCATTTTTAGCTGAATTTTTGAATTTGGATTTAGTGGCCATAAATGATTTGTTGCAAAAAAAACAAAAAAACAAAAAAAAAAACCAAAAAAAAAAAAAAAAAAAAAAAAAAAAAAAAAAAAAAAAAAAAAAAAAAAAAAAAAAAAAAAAAAAAAAAAAAAAAAAAAAAAAAAAAAAAAAAAAATAAAAAATAAAAAAAAAAAAACAAATTGTCAAAAAAACTATTTTTACCGTTTCTATTTTCATTTTTAGCTGAATTTTTGAAATTGGATTTAGTGGCCAAAAATAATTTGTTGAAAAAAAAAAAAAAAAAAAAAAAAAAAAACCAAAAAAAAAAACAACAAAAAGACAAAAAAACAACAAAAAACAAACAAATCGTCTGGATATAACACAACGGGGGAGACTTGGACTGAAGCTAAGTAAATTGGAACCTAAAAAAAAATCACTTTGCAGCAAGCACCAAGCAAAAACATCTGACTAAATTAAAATAATTAATAATTACTTATAATTAAAATAAAAAACAAACAAACTTTAATTACAATTATTTCGTACTTGAATTTCAGTTCGCCATTAAATGTTTTGAAAACTCACTTACTTTTTTCTTCACTAATTTCCTTGTGATTTATTCCTAAACAAAAAAGTTATCGTTTTAGTTTCTCCAGTTACCAACCCTTTTTTTGAATATTAAATTTATGTATATGATACCTGAGGGGGGGGGGGGGGGGGGGGGAGGAATAAGAATTTTAGAACGGCTTTTGTGGAGCATGGCACAAAACAAGTTTTGGAAACACTGGTCTAGTTAGTCAAGAGAATAAAATAGAAGACAAACAGGACGTTGGCATGAATGAAACTGCAATGAGCAAATGGAATGACACTGAAAACATTGAAGAATACTTAAAGAGATGTAATGCCATTGCTATAAATGAAGATTGATCCGACCAGAGGAAAGCACAACTACTAATAGGCAATTTGGAGGCTAATACGAAAGCACAGTCTCGAAATAATGACCTCATAAAAAGAGTCATCCTTTGCAAATTATTAGTTTAAAAAAAAAAAAAACAATTTCCCAGCAATTTTCTATATTGTTCGTCTTAGATAAAAAGAGTATGAAAATGTCAATGGGATTAAAATATTTATGGAAATTGTAGTTTACTTTTATAGATTTATGTAATCTCCTTGGAATTTCCCCCGGTATGACGTAATATACATTTTTTGGTAAAAGATTCTTGAAGCTTTTTTTTATTCTAGAATGTTCGCTTTTAAAGAAAAAAAAAATTAAAATAAGTGTTATAAGATTATGCAAACACCCTTATCACGTCTGTTATGTTACTATTTTCGTCCTAAAATTTTATACAATCAGCTTTAAGGACATTTTTGAAGGTTCTAGAAACTTTCCCAATGTCAGTAGGAGGCTCTCTAAAATGCCTTTTTTCCTCGTAGCAGCCCCAGCTTTACAAGAAAACTCAGGTTACACTGCAAGCCTCTTTGTCAACTGTTGCGTCCAGGCCAAACCACAGCTTTACAAGAAAACTCAGGTTACACTGCAAGCTTCTTTGTCAACTGTTACATCCAGGCCAAACTTGGTCAACCTACCTTTCAGGATCACTTTCAAACTATCGGTGGATTTCACGAACTAATCGTTTCGACAAAAAAAGCTGGGTTTCCGGTTTTAAGTGACGTAATAGATTTATCTTTTGCGTTTTTTAAAAAAAAAACTTTAATGGCAAAATTGGCGAAATAAGAAGTGTTTTTTTTTTTTTTCTTTAGGTTAGCCAACCTAAAACATTCACAGCTGTAGAATAATAAAGATTTAGTTCATTTGGCGCCGGCGCCCGGAAAAAAATGTAAATGTTTAAAATGTGAAGTCTATGCTAATGCCTTCCCCTTTTAATGGGATAGATAATTTGAAAGTTTAATTATCTGACTGTTTTGTCCAGTTTCCCTTATCTTAGTGATAACTAAAATATCCATTTTTTTTCGTCGAATGAGTATCTTGTTTTATTTTAATTGATAAACGGACATCCGTTTGAATAGGTTTTTTGTTTGCTGAATAAGACATCATTAAAACAATTTTAATTTGCTCATTAAATCCAGCCTGAAAATACCTGAAAAAAATTTCAATTTTAACAAGAAATTTTTAAATAAATCGGGCCTTTTATAGGACAATATTTAAAATGTTGTATTTACTTTAGCGAAGTTGTTTTGCTTAAATCACTTTATGAGATTTTTTTTTTTTTTTTTTGTGTGGTTCCGAATAAAAACGCTCCCAAAGCCGGGTTTTTTAGTTAGTTTAACATAAAACATAATAAACTGCTAAAAAAACAAAAAATATTGTTTTTAAAAAAAATAAGAAAATTTTTTTTTTTTTTTTTTGTGTGGTTCCGAATACAAACGCTCCCAAAGCCGGGTATATTAGCTAGTTTAACATAAAACATAATAAACTGCTAAGATAACATAAAATATTGTTTTTATAAAAAATAAGAAATGAGGGTAAGTGAACAATTTTTAAACAAACAGTATTTGATAACTCACAAGATCAGCAACGATTTGGTTTGAGAAATATTTAGTAGACACTTGAGAAATATTATTCTCTGAAACAAGGCTGTTTCGCAAAAAAAAAATAACATAATATGTTTATTATTGTATGCGTATGGACGTAATATGTTTCGTGAATAATGCTTTATATGTAAATGTTCGTTGTAACATGTTACACACAATATATATTGTGAATGTTGCGTTATTCCAAATAAGTCGCTTGACTTTAAAAGGCGAATGGAGTAAAAAAACCACCAACAAACAATTAGACGGAAGGGTTGTTGAACTCATAACTTTCCAATTATTAGATATTCTCCTTATATGACGTTTAATTTGTTGAACATTCACTTTATTTGACATTCTCTCAATAGTGGTCATTTACTCTATTTGATATTCCCTTAATATCAGCAAATTTACATTATATAGGACGTAATTAATTAGTAGGCACTTACTTTATTGGACAATTAGTTTGACCAACACGCCAGTAAGAATCGAAGACCTATCCTGAGTCGTAGTGTATTGGTATTGATTGATTCAAGAATGCTCTTTTACAGACCAAAATTTTGTTCAAATCAATGACCAGTAACGGAAGTGTGACTAAAATGTTCACATCTGAACATTTGACATTATTAACCTTTTAATTATTAAGAAATTATTTCAGGATCAGTATTGGGACCGGCGGGAATTTCCGTGGAACTGTACCGGTCAGTCGGCACCTGTGGTTTGAAACCTTCACTTTAAAAAAAAAAACGCTCTAAAATTGACCAGTGAGACAATTAACCTGCAGGTCCATGGAAAAAAAAAAAAAGGAAAAAACAAAAATTCAAACTAACTTTGTCAAGAAAACGTAACTCAGAGACACGATGGCCGAATTCGGGTTTCCTCCCCGGATTTCAACAAACACTATGCCTCCACTGCCCTACTTCCTGACCTTATTACCACTGCACATGCGCCAAGAAAGCAAGCGGATGCAATTAAGGAAAGACAACTCTCCCCAACAGGCAAGAGGCAGACGGCGGTGTTGCCGTGACGCGGGTGGTTATTTGAACCTATGGTGATTATTTTCTTCTCCTCTTTTTAAAGAGGGTCGGACATCTCCTGGGAGTTTAGAGAAAAATGAATGAAAGAAAGCCGAGGAATGAGAATAAATTGTGGCTCAGAGATTTAATGTGAAATCCTATATCTCCGCCTAAAGTAACTCTGTTGATCAGGGGTAAAAATTGCTTTCCTTTTATCAATTGATGCTGTTGAAGAGTTTATTTCCTTTCGTTAGTAGATGGTAATGTCGGAGAACTGCTTGCCCTTAATGGTATCACGTTTTCTAGCAAAGCTGTCACCTAGTTTTGAGACCCTTTGGTGCAATAGAGTTTATGACTGGTAGAGGATTCTACTTTCGTCCAGAGCCATACCCAGCTACACACAACTCTGAGATAGACTGGTCAGTTGAGTAATGTAAGCAGTTGGTGGAAGGGATTGGTTAGTCCAGTTACCAACCAGGTTAGCGCAATGGATTGGTCAATCCAATAATGTAACTGTGAGGACGGATTGGAATGGCCAGTTCAATAATAAAACAATAATAAATCCAGTATTTTAAGGTATATATGTGTTGAATGGATAGGTCAGTCCAGTAATTTAACCAAATGGATGGATTGTACTTGTCAGTCCAGAAATTGGGGATATAATAATAATAATAATAATAAAGTTCATTTCAAAAACACGCTTCATCCCCAAAGGCTCGAAGCGCGGTACAAAGTCAACAAAAAACAATCTATAGTTTACCACATTTAAAACAAACGCAACACTACAAAAACTAAGTACAAGCCTACAATGGCAAAGTCTTTCTAGCCATTTCAACCATAAGCAACACAGCCATTATGCATTAACTGGAAAATAATGTTGACAATCATCCCAGAAGGTGTTTGCGAAATAGATGTGTCTTTAAATCGGT